ACTTCACGAACAATTTCGAACACAAACTTATTTCAAATAAACTAAATTTCAAACGAATCGAACATGAACATCATCTCTATTCGTTTGTGTTCAGCTCGTTTACACCCCTATATATACACATGAATGAGTTGCTTCCACAAATAATGAAATTAATATTTTGAAAACTAATCACATCAAAATAAATATACAATTTCACATCACCTAACTCCATGATAGTGATATAACGTGGGCTGAAGGTAAATTTTACTATATATAATTCCTCGATCTGGCCTGCAATAATTCTGAATAAACTAAAGAAATAGAACGTGAGAAAATTCTTCAAGAGCCATCGGGATGAACAGCCATCTGCTGATTAGACGAGAGAATCTAAGTTACAGTTTATGCTGCTTCAAATTATTTTAAGTCTGTATGCATGAACGTGGGAGGGTCATTAAATGGCGTTGGTTGTATAGCTTTGCTTGCGCTGATGGAGATATCATTAAGCAAGCATTACAGTGGGTTTGTTCTATTCAATTTTTATTTATGCTTTGCTTAATCCTTCTTTTTTGTATTAGTAATTGAGAAATTTACAGGCATGGCAGGACAATTCTTTAGGATTTACATGTAAGATGTATTGGTTTTGTATGTAAGCCTATGCATGAGAGTGTGTATTGTTTATGTGAATGTTAAGGGATTGTGGGGTTGGCATGTAAATATGGCATTTGAGGGGTTGGATATGAAGATAGATAAGGATTATGTGGTATGTAGTATGTGAATCACCATAATACTATGACTAGAGATTTTCATAGGTGATCATTTTGGTATGAATTTTCTTGATGAGATTTGGGTTTTAAGAGGAATATAGGCTAAATAAAACTCAAAAAGAAATTTAAATAAATTTTCATTAAAAATGAGTGATGCAAGTCAAAATATTATATTAATATAGGAGAGATGTGTTAAAATATTAAATGAGGTTGTTTTAGGCATTTAACCTCAGAGTTTATAGAAGTATCAAAATAGTCAGATAAATAGTCTCTGACCATTTTAATATGAAGTTCAGTTGGTTCTCCACGAAGACTATATATCCGACCCAATTCAAAGAATCTCAGGATTATATTTACAAATTTTTAGGATTAAAACGACCCGATGTAAATAGTCGGGGACTATTTCGAAACTTTACTCATTGATATATTGCCCTTAGGAACCTCAGAAACATAATTATTAATTTTGGCAATGTATTTAAATAAAACAAAAGGAATTAAAATCAAATATTTCATTTTCTCATATAATTTTGGTGAACATAACTTCAAGAAATATTCAGAAGATATATATATATATATATATATAT